ATTGAATAATGCATGAGAAAAAGCTCAGAGAATTCATGACAGCCAGGAGTCTTCAGATCTCCCCACTCTGGACACACAGAACTGGAGTCAGCCAAAGTAAAAATACAGAATGTATTTTACATATATATAATATATACATAATATATATAAAATACACATTACATATATATTATATATATACACCTATATTATATATAAAATAGATATCTATATATCCCAATGTCAGGAAAATACCTGTAGAAAGGTCAGTAAGAGAACAGATCTGCGACCAGTTCTCTAACTGTAGGGGGAGACTGGAGAAGAGTTACATTACTACACTGATAGGAATAATCAGAAGGAAGCCCTGTAAACTCACCCAGGTATTTCCAATCAGAAGTTTACCCCAAATCTACATTAGGTATCAATCATAAGGGACTCTAGAGTCTCACAATTTTTGCTGACATCTCAGGATCCGGCAAGCATTACAGATGGCTCCTTGGAAGCATACACAATCCTGAATCACACAACAGTCCCCAAATTCGACGCAGTATCACTTTAGTACCTTTATTTCATTACATTTATTTCTATTTCATTCCATTCCATTCTATTACAGCCTAAGGACCCTTAAAGGAAGGGGTTAGGAGGGAAATCTTATAACGCCCTTGACTTTCCAGAAGTCAGATGTAACCTACACCTTTCTAAGTACTGTTCTAGTACTACACAGTTAATTTTTCCTTACTTCATCCCTACCTAAAAAGAGGGAAATAATCATGTAACCGAGCGTAGGCATTCCAGTACATACATTACAAGCTCAACCTGCTGAAGTGACAGCAATGACAAGGTATATTCTATTGATTCATCTGAGATACTGTGTCAGGGTAATATAAGGCCTGAAACTTCATACTTCGAAATGCAGAAATACAAAACTGCCACCCATGGGCAGTCTGTTCTCAGCCAAGACGCAGGATGCACTTAACTCGGAGCATGAGACAAGAACAGGAGAGGGGTATGCTCACAGTACTCAGTCTATGTATTTACCCAGTCTTGAGAGGTGTATTTTTGATTTGAAATTCACACCACTGATATCCCAGTGGGTCATCCAAAACAATCAGAAGGCTGAAAAATAGAAGTACCTAGTCAGATTATCTCATGAACACATAATGAATTCAAATGTGCCAAGTACTTCCCTTGTTACTTGCTCATGTTTTTCTATCATTGAAAACATCTTCAGGTCTATTCTCAGCAGCTATTTAATCTCTAAAGATAACTATATTATTTCCCTTTGACTATAAAAGCAGACTGTGTTCTTAAATTAGAATGTCTAATGTACGTTATAAAAGGCTGACAGCCAGTTTCCTGGTGGATAGGAAGGCTCTGGATAAGTAATTTAGACACGGTAAGCCATTGTCTAGCCTAATCTTTCACATCTCTTACCTTGCCTGGTCAAGAGGGCTTTGTGCCATTGAAAGCTCTTACTTCCTTGTAACGACATGCCAGAACACACCAGGTACCACAGCCAGAGGAACAGATGGGACTCAGTAAAATGCCTGCCAATTTTCCCCTATCAATAATTCTGGATTTCTAAAATATTTCTTTGAGGAAAGGACTAGAAAGTAGCAGGTCTACTTGATGGGGGGAGAGAAAAGGAACAGAGAAGTGTTAATTCATCAAATTAGTATACCTGGTGTTTACTACAGTACTTGAATGCTGCCACTTTCAAACAAAAGAGCTCAGAGATAAGTTACTGTAAGATAGCCAAGAGGTAAATTCAGAGGAGAGGTAATTTTAGACTATTCTGATTTGTTCTGAAGGTGCAGTCTGGCTCTAGTCACGCCTTAATTGGGCTATACTCAAGTCTTATTCCACACTACCTCTTTTAGTCTTTCTTTGTTGGGAGGCAATTTGTTGACTAAGAGAAATAGAATTTGAGTTCTGACTTTTCAGGTTAATCTTGCAGTGAAGAAAAAATATGTAGGTAAGAAATGGTGTGACTTTCATGAGTTTGGGGATTAATTTTTTAATGCTTTTGAGATGAGAATTAATAGAAGAGGTTGTTTGGTTGGGGTTTTTTGTTTTGTTTGTTTTGTTTTGTTTTGTTTTTTTTAAGATAGAAGCCTAATTCAAAGCTAAGAGACAAAAAAAAAGAGGAAGGTGAAAGAAGGGAAGGCAGGTGGTGGGAAGATATATCAAAAAGTGTCATTTAGATATAGTATAAATAGGCTCATTTTTTAACCAGCACTGTTAATTGCAAAGTCTACTATATAAAGAATGGTTCAGCAATTTAAGCACTCAGGAAATGGAGGAGCTGGGTGCTGGACCTTCCTCAGAAGGATCCAAACTTACAACTCACTCACACAAGGAGTGTGTTCCAGCCACCTCAGAGCACCAGGTGCTTCCTCCGGTGGGGCCCACCAGAGGTAGGCCATCAGGAAACCAGGACTGCAAGAATCACATTAGGAGGACAGGAAGAAAGGAAAATTCCAGCTATGAATTGGGCATTCAGTTGTGAAGAAGTAGATTTGGGGGCCAGTCGCTGGTCCCAGGCTGTTTTTCACATTTGAAGAATATGGAAAAGTGTCAGTGGGGAAGGGTGTGAGAAAGGTAAGAAGTGTCTTCAGAAGTAACCCAGGAAATAGGAATGAGACATTAAGTCACTCCCTCTTCCCAGCTGAATATCTTAACTTCTAAGTTACAGGGTTACGCTGCTTTGTACTTGCCTCCATTCCAACTATGTCCCATTTAAGGCACCTTTCTGGAGTCTGCCTAGAGATTTGAAATGATGGTAGGAGTTGTCATCAATTAGGACATCTGTCAGGCAGGGTGAGTAAGAAGAGTGTCCCTTCTAAAATGTTGGGTGATATGTGAAGGTTACCAGGTCAGCATTTTCTCAAGATATTTATGGATTAAAAACTGAGCCCTGGCCAAGTGAAGGGAGACGATGGAGTGTCAAGGACAAGTATGCTTTGTAATCTTGATCTCTTCCTTTTGTCTCAGAGATAAAACTATTCTGGAGTGAGTTTAAATAATGCAACTGTGGTAAAGCAATTTAGTACTCCAATAAATCCAGGTGGGAGTAGCAGAATCTGATCTCAGAAAATTTTAACCAAGGAGAGTTGAAGCTAATGATCAAGAGAAATCATGGGAGGATAGAAAAGATGTAGGTACGATGGAGAACTGATTGGATAAAGACACCAGAGGAAAGATCACACTGGGTAAGGATCTACCTGTGAGCTGAGAACTAGTAGCAATGGGAATTATGAACAAGAATAAGGACTTCTAACCTGAAGAATTTATGACAAGCCAGTTAGGGAGGAAAGGGGAAGGCACCAAATACAAAGAGCTCAGACTGGAACTTACAGAGAAACTGAACTGGAGTAAGAACCCCACGAAACAGAGATTCAGACTGGGTAGGTGAAGTCCATGAGATGGAAATGGGGAAGGTGGTAGAGGAAAAGGATGAGAAGAAGGAAGGCACAGGCTCTGTGTGATCAAGCAGGTAAGTCTCCATGCAGCAGGTTCGGCACCCTTCACCTCCAGAACCTGGCATAGAATTTAATATGTCAAAGCCTGGTGCCAGATGAAACTGCAAAGATATCCCATTTTCCATTCATGTCTCCTCATCCTCTTAAACTAGTGTTTCTAGACATGGAAGAGAGTCACCTGCTATTGCCATCAACACAGTTACTCTGTTAGCTAAGAGGAATATATTTCTGCATTCAATCTATAGATTCTGCCCTACTGACTATTTTGCATAGGTTGACCTAATGTCTCAGAACTCAATTTATTTTCATAACTCAAAAGCTAAAAAAATTACATGCAGACTCACTCCTCCCCACCCTGAATCCTGCATGAAGACAGTGTCAATATTAGAGAGCCAGGCTTGCAGAAGCATAGAAATGCCTTGGCAACTTTACCTCAGTCCTCATGTACTAGAGAACACATAGTGACAATCATCAGTATTTCAGTCTTTAGTAGCTCTATCTTCAATATTTATACTCCCAGCTATTTCTTCCGCTAACAATCATGCTTAGGATGAACTTGAGCTTTTTGAACAAGTTCGAAATACATGATGGGAAAGGGAATTCCATTAAAGAAAATCTCAAGATTAAGACACTTGAAAAATGCTTTGGGGAACAGCAATCTATACCAATCCCTATCAGCCATCTTCTTGTGTAATGTCAGCTTTCCAGAGAAGGTCAACAATTTGGGGTATTTTATAAAAAGTATTAGAAAGCAAAATATCAAACATTAGTTTCAGTAAGAAAATAATTAGTTTGAAGTATTGCAGTCATGCCCAAAGCTCCAACTTGCTTTGCTGAACAGGTAGCAAAGCAAAACCAGACGCTGAGCTCTCTTGAAAAAGCAGAAGCCCAAAAGCCTGGCTTTACATGGACCAAGACTCAGCTGAGGTTTTAAACAAAAATGTGATGAAAAATAAAATAGTTCCTCCTTTCACATTCAGCTGTAGAATGTAACTAGAGCTCATCCCAAAACCACGCACGCACTTGCTTTAAAACCTTGTATACTCCTGGTGACCCCTAAAAAGGAGACTACTCGTGATGATTTAAGATCTTGAAAGATGTGCAGCCATGAACCTGCTTAAGAGAAAAAGCTGCCAACATTCCCTGAAGGTATGTGAAGATTAGATTTGAGGCTGTCTAGACAGAAACCAGGCTTGTAATAACCAGTTCTCCCTAATTGACACCCCACAAACAAACCTCTCCTGAATAGCTTGATCGTAATCACAGCTTCATTCCCTGGAACCAGTCGAAGGCAAGATGCCAGGCACTGGTAGGAAGCAGCTGCGACCAGAGTATGCTGGCGTAGCAGATACTTACTGCATAGGTAGAATGTTGCAACAGCGCTATCTGTTGTGTTTTCTGTACAAGTGCCATAAACACAGTTCTTCGGAAAAAAATGAATGAGAAGATAGTTCGTTGTCAGCAAGACACTTTGTTCCTTATATGTAACAATATTCTTAAGTGCAACAAGAAAATATAGTGAAATAAGAAACGCTTTACCTCCTTGTCTTTCCAATTCTCTTATCAGTCCATTTTCTAGGTGATCATGTTGTGATGTCAAATCCATACTATACCACAAAATCTGGGACAGAAAAACACAAGCCTGCCTGAATAAAATGACTTTATTTCTTTTCCTCCACATAACACTTCACAAAAAAAAAAATATTTTTACATGTATTATGCTATAATTTACATCTATTGATAATAAAGACATGTAGACACATAAATATCAGTATTCAAAACATAAAAGAACCAGAAACAGCAACCTAGTTCATCTGTTCAACTCTCACAGAGGGGAAAAAGCAAGTAGACTTTTTCTGTTTGTTTGTTTAAAAAAGAGCTTTGATAAACATTTAAAACTATTTTATGACATTTTAAAATTAGAATCAATTCAAATCAGGGTTGGTAGACTTATAAATGACTGAAACAAAAGTTAGCAACAAATATCTAAAAGAGAAGAAAAATTGCACCAAAAGGTTCTAATCTTGTTTGAATTATTGGCTTGGAAGGGAAGGAAAAAACCTATTAATAAAAGTTACAGATGAGAATAAGTAGGAAGCAGGAGCTATAGAAATCATGCAGAACAGAATGCATATATGCCTATATAAACAGACACAGAACATGCAGACTTGGAAGAAAAAAGTAATAGGAAATGTATGACAGAGGTCGATACAATTTTCAGCTGTCTGCAGAAAAGCAGACAACCAGAAGACTCCAGTTCTTGATATTTTACAATCAGAGAAACACTGAATTCACAGGGAAAAAAAAAAAAATCAGCACTCTGATAATTTTTAAAGCTCTTGCAATTTATACAGAAATTTGACTGATTTCTGTAGGCATGGTTAGAGGCAGCATACAGTTAATAATCTACAGATGTATAAACATCCAGTAGGGATGCAATTAAGTAAGACAATGGGTGAAAGAGTATCTCTTATCAAGTAAAATAAAAAAAAAAATACACACACGCAAAACCAAAACAAACAAAAAAAGCCCCTCCAAAACAATTAAAGTAAAAACATATGCTGAATATTGAGAAAACTTCCTCACAGTGCAAAGTCTTAGGCAGGTTTTACCTCTCAAGGGTTGGAAGAAGACAGAATAGAACAGACCTGTTGTCTTAGAAAGGACGCACCATACTCTTGACTTCACCCTGCAAAGGGAATACAGGTTTAATGTTTAACCCTATCATCACAACGCCAGCAGCCATTAACCTATCTGAAGGTGAAAAATAACTTAGGAGACTTCCACACATTACTGTAACTTGTAGAACAAAAATTCTGCTATTATATTTATGTCTGTCTATGAACTTAGCAATAGTAACATCATTACATGGGGAACAGAAAAGAGGTTCAATGGGATTCAAAATGTTTGTATGCATCTTCAGAATAACAAGTAGCATTAGAAACTACTGGGACATTAAGCAGTAAATGTTACACACATCCATCAGCTTGTCATATACTTCAGGAGCATGACAAAAAATAAATTTTCTTCCCACCACAAGACAGAAACAGTGGGTTAATAATCAGTCCCTTTGCATTCTGAAGGACAAGCACTATAAAATCACCCTTAAGGGGAAAACCTTTGTGCCTTGTGGTCCTCTACTTTTTTTTTTTTTTTTTTTCCTTCTGAAAACATCCTTTGAGGTAACACCGAACTACACAACAGCCTGCCCGACTTTAACATGTGAATTCAGGAGCACTGCAGGCAGCTAAGCAGCGCAGACCAGCTCAGTTGCCAAGTTACGCTGTTTAAAGTACAAAGCAGTTTAGAGTAAAAGACACGGGCAAGTGAAAAATCACTTTTGGTCGACCTTACCTGACTCTCCTGTGGCTTTCTGACAATGGCAACTCACACCGAGAAGTCCTTATCCAGGCGGTCACTTCCCCGGCAGGCAGCAGCGCGGCCGGCGCTGCCAGCACCCCTGCGCCAGCAGCAGTGCCACCCTAAATCCCGGCAGCTGCCACACGGGCACGAAGCAGGGACCGCACGCACGGCCCGCGGCCGTCACCCCTCACTTCGGGGGGATGGCTTTGTCACAGCTCCAGGAGCTCCAGTAAAGCAACCAGCTTGGCTGTATTCTTTTTTTTTTTTTTTTTTTTTTTTTTTTAAATAGAATAGAAATAAGATAGGGGCACTGAATTGAGTAACCACTCACTGCTGCTAAAAGGTAACCAAAGAGCTAAATATTATTTTTCAGAGTCAAAGGGGTCTTCCAAGCACCCAGGGCAGTTTACAAAGGGGCAGGGGTGTAGCACACTCACGCTGGAATACAGAACTGTAACAAGGCACGCAGCCCCCAAAATCCCATCACGCTTTTCCCCCATGAGACAGCTGCCAATGTGCACACATCCACACATACCACTTCTCTTCTGTATATACAAGAAGTACGTTTGCTCAGCAGGTCACAGCCACTTAGTACCTTGGGAGCAAATGCAGGTATCAAGACTTCCCTTATTTAGACTGTCATCAATTCGGGACAGGAACTGTCTCTTACTTTACAGTTTTTTAGCAAAATTAGACTTCAATCTCGGCTGGGGTTTCTCGATGTCGTCGGAAAATAATTAATGATTGTACAAGAATACTAAACAAGCCCTACAGAGGACTGAAGGTCTCTATACTTTGCTGTACTTGGTAGCAGAAATTAATAGACCTTCTACTGCTATAGACTATCAAACAAATCACCAAGACCCCATCTACACTTTTAAAGCACAGTTCAATAATACTAATGACTGATTTATAAAACACGGCTCTAAACTGGCTGTCCAGGATGAGAATTTTCTTAAAATGTGATAATCTTCTACAAAAGTAATATCAAAAGGGATAGTTTTTGCCCAGTGAACACTGTACATGAAGTATCAGGCTCTCTGCGACTATAAGGGTCAAATCCTACCCAGTTCAGCTCAGTCCTTCATCCTTTTAGGGGAGGCCTGCTTCATATAAAACTTAATTGTATGGACTTGGACTTTCAAACAATGAAACAGTGAGAAATTAAGTAAAAATAGTAAATGAGAAGACAAAAGAAGCAAGAAGGAGGACTAAAATGTAATTTAAGAACCCAAGTACGACTGGCAGCATGCAGTGCTTTTCTGTCTTAATCCACAGGAGCTATAAATAAATTTGACAATCATCCAGCGGGACAGGTGAGGTGCGGGGGAAGTCTGAGCCTTACACACGGCTTCTCTCACAGCTTAATCCGACATGAGTGCTGCCCCCAGCGGGTACATCTGCGCAGCACTTCTGCAGACAAATTCCATCTTTGCACACGGTCAAATAACTCCAAGTCTAGAAACATGACGTTTATATTCAGAACATCGACAAGTACAGCACCTCAGATTGTATGTGGATTTACTACACTGCATGATTTTCGGTGAGATTTTACAGGGGCTTACATCATCTCGTGAATGGGTCACTAAGCAACATTGCTTTGAACACAAAACTTTCGAGACAGGCCTAGTGAAGGGAATACAGAAAACAACACCAGCCGAGCCCATCTTCCTTCTCTCAGCGCCTTGAAATAATCCAAGTTGCCTTCAAAATTTCATTTAAACTTGAAGTTAAGGAAGCAACAGATTGTGTGTGATTTTAACAGCTATCTCACCTCAGTTAGAATGCAAATAAACGGGCATCATGTTTTGGCTCAATTTTAAAATCTCAAAACAGAGAACTTTATATAGTTCAATCTAGGTCTTTATGAGTAAATGTGCTAAAATTATTTTCTTCATCCCTCCTATTTAAGTTCTGGACACAAAATGACATGACAAACACATGAGAAATAGGGATAATTTATTTTTTATTTATTTTAAAATTCATTAGAATATTTACAAAGCTTAAGTCATATAAAGCACACGTACAGAGTCTTTTTTAAGACTTCTTTCTTTCCCAACCCCCCCCCTTTTATTTTTAATTCTTTTAAGACTTTTTCTTTTTTCTTCCTCTCCGCGATTTCTTTTTTCTGCCCTCAAACACAGGTTTGGCAGTCACCATGACCACATTTCCCAGTTCTTCATCCTCATCACTTGAGCTACTGCATCCCTTTTTCCCCTTATGGTCTGCTGTCTCAACTGCAGAGACATTTTTCTTTTTGCTCTTGCCTAAATCTCTGCTTTCCAGTTCCTCTACTGAGGAGTCACTAGAAGTTTCTGAAAGATGCAAACCCCCCACAAAACCACCTCCATATAAATGTTCTTTTCTGGAATCTGAATGTTTTCTTCTCTTTCTACTTTGGCCTTCTGTTGCCACAGCCTGATGATTTCCGCAGCCTGCAGTACCTTCCCCTTTCCTTTCCTCCCGCTGTTTAAGTTCAACCTCTGTAACAGCAGCGGCCTCCTGAATTTCATTGGCTGCTTCTTTTTCCTTTCTCTTCAGACAAGTCACAGCTCTGCGCAGTCTCTGACTTTTAATAGCTTGGTTTTCATACTGTGCTAGCCTGAAGAATGAATCAATTCGAAGCTGAGTCTATCAAAAATAAAACAGAGAAACACCTTTGGATGTTTTTGTGATGGGAATTCAGTTCTCAGCTACACTATAAAGCATCCCAAAGTAAAGCAGGACAAAGGACTAATGAAATTAATATGCATGCAAATAGGTGTGAACAATGAAATGCATTATTACAGTAATACCTATACATTATTATAAATTATGCAACAAGAATCTTCACAAAAACTAAATAATAAGCCAACTGCAATTAAATTTTATAAATATTGTGTTGCTGATGACTAGATGTATGTTGCTATCTTCAACCCTAACACAGAAAATTTCTCTCGTGCTCTTAAGTAGGTTCTTACAAACACATCCTTAGCTTCAAGCTGTTAAAACAACAGAATGTTTACAAAGCAGATGTTGTAAGTGCATTGTGCATTTGCACATGCTAGCGCAACAAAATGGGGTCACTTGACTCTAGTTCATTGTAACACCTGCTGCTGCAGTATGAAGATTTAGGAGTAGAACTAGAAGCAGTCACACACAACGGGTCTGTGTTACTCAACCACAGCTAGGCTTACTGTACAGACTAAGCTAGTCCTCCATATTCTCCCTAAAATTGTCTAAGAGAGACAAGGCGTTTCCCAAGGATGTTCCTGTCAACCTGAAAGTATACATGGATTTAACTACGGGTGTTGGTACCTTTCACTCCTTGGGTGATAGAGAGAACCTAGAACACTGGTTTAGACTACCTATCTATCCTGCTTATGGCACAAGAAGAAGAGAGTCTGACCTTTCACAGTATCACAGGATACACCCCTATTCACTTGTAAGTTTTATTAAAGTTGATAAAACATTTATTTAGAAAGTAGAGTAGTACTATTAATGGACACTTGTTCAACAGTTTAGTCTGCACTCCTCTTCAAAGGATATGGATGGTACCAAATGGTCAGACTTACTTCACCAGTATCTCAGGGGTTTTGTATAAATCATTTTTAGAGACAGCGTGCTGCCTTGTAAAAGTACTGAAGGTGTTTGAGGTACCTGTAGTTTCAGCTACATCCAGAACAAACAGCAACCTGGACTTGAGATAGGTGCCTGAAAATTGGAAACCACCACACACCCAAATCATACAGAAATGAAGTCTAGAGAAGTTTAATGACTTTTAAAAATATATATATTAAGATTACTTTTTAAATGGTCAAATTCCACTTTCTGAGAAATGTGTTTTAAATTAAAGCCTTGCTGTTCATTTTAAAATGCTTCTCTTAAAATTTTCCAGTTGCCCTTAAACTACAGATAGTTTTATACTTTACCTGCTGCAAGTTCAGCTGTTTCATCACAGGCAAAAGGATTTCATCTATCTTTGTCCTAGTCCAGCCAAAGTGATTCTGACAGAACGTGCAGGAAGTTATGGAACTTTACAAAACAGCTATTACTAGTATTTTGTAAACACATAAAATGAGAATTCCTCAAATAAACAATGTCTGGAGGAAAGTTACTTTACTTCAAAGCTTCTTCTACTACAAAAGATTTTCTACTAGAGAAAATACTCTAAGTTATTAGAGCTGTCACAGGTGGATGGTTCCAGTATTGTGCTGTGTATCTTAATCATGCTGTTACATGTCTATTAGTTACAGAACTTTTTCTCTAATATCAACATTTCCAAAAGTGTGTCTCAATGAAGACAGAACTCATTTTGGCTCTACAGTACTGCCATAAGACAAAACACCTATAAATCAATCTTATTTTGACACCTGCACACACTGCAAGTTTAATTTACCGTTTAAAACACTATTAGCTCTGCATGCATTGCCACCTGCTTTTCAACTATTCACTGCAGCTCAAGCTGCAACTGATGCAAGAAACAGACATTATTGCAAGAAATGCAGTGAATGAGTAGTGATGAAGCACCGACCGAATCACCATTTCTGACTAGGTTTTAAAACTTATTTGTGAAAGATGGGACACATACATCAGAAGTGTGCAAACAATCCCCGCTCTAACTCTAGAAATAGGCACAGCACAGTTACAGAAATGTAACATCACAACAAACGAGTCAGCTCAGCCAGGAGACTCCCTTTGCACGCAAAGTGAAGCAGCCCACTCTCTCGGGAGGGCAGAGCAGCCCCGAGTGCCACACATGCATGGCTGCATTCCCTGCCATTCCAGAGCGGGTATCGCTCTAGGACAGCACATGCAGGCAGGGCGGGGGGTCCCTCACACCAATGAAATGTTAAGAATTTGACACTTTGTTATTGACTCACTAATGAGCCTTATGAATTTTAATCTGAGTACTTTTAGCTAACAGCTCCTGCCATGTTGTAAAAGGATATTCTCTGATCTGCTCCACGTCAGGCTTCCCCCAGGTGAAGGAACCCCTCGTCTCATCCACCACAGGCTTCAGGTATGCTTCTGCCACTGCTGGATTTGGGAAACCTGAAGAAAGCTGCAGCTCCCGCAGTTTCTTCTTGACTTTGGTATCACGTGGATTAGGTCTCAATTTCTTATTCTTCTGAGCCTCATTCCACCACTCACTGAAAAACAGAGGAAAGTATTCATTTGCCTCTGTAAAATATAATTTGGAATATCAGGAGCCACTCTGCTAATTTCAATAGCCTTAGTCTCCCTACTTCAGTTACTACATGAGATGAGGTAAGAAATTTCCAAATAAAAAATGGCCAAAGGGACATAAAATCTGAAAGTAGAAAAGACAAAATATACACAGTAAATGCAGCCGTCATAAGCCACAGTAGCAAACATCACCTGGATTCCCCAAAAGCTGCTGAACAGAAGGACCTAGATTCAGCCTCACTTGGGGAGGATGTTCCACACATAATGATCATTCTTGGAGGATTTTGGTAGGCAGGGAGAAAAAAAAAAAAAAGAAAGAAAAAAAATACTTCTAATCATTCTAGCCATTGCCAATACAACTGTCTTGGCCCTCTTCAAACCCTGTTCTTACCCACAGCCTACCTGTCTGTCTCTTTCCAGGTCATCCATTCCTCACTCATCAAGTCTCTTTTCTCTATGAGCATGCTACAGCACGTTCTCACAAACTCAGGGAGAATAAACCTCCACTCCACTACGGATCCAGCTCTGCAATGAACTCAGAAGCAGTCACACAGTTCTACAGCTGTTCTACTGTCTTCATTAGTCTCACCGTAATTGCTGTATCAACATGTCACCTTATTTACCTGCCATTTCAAACAGTGATATAATGGAGTCACGTATTTTACAGTTAACTTAGTCTCCTTAGTGATGGCCAATGATGGTCGCACGTTTTGTTGTATGCTTAAGCAGAAGCAAAATACATTCACTAATGTTCATATTATGAAGAGACAAAAAAGTAAAATACGATGAGGCATACGCAAATTTTAAGAGAGGTTCCACGCCATGCCCAGGAAATTCATTTAAAATCTCCATCGCTGTCACAAAGCCAACATTGGGGATGCCCTCAGTGTAGTCACTTCCAAGCAAGTATGCCAAATTGATTAGCTTGCTCCGGTCCAACCCTGTAAAAGAAAGTATGTAAACCAAATAACCAGTGGATGCAGCATCTTTCTCTTACAAATTAAAAAATAATGTATTGTCTGAAAGGCAAAACCCAAAAGGAACACGAGGGCATTAACTCTGTAAAATTACATTTCATTCAAGATCAGAATTTGCTAAATTATATTCTGGAGTAGTGTCAATATGCTACTGCTAGCGCAAGCACCAGTAGCTGTGCTAACTTGACAAAGACATCTTGCCAAAATTAAAATATTACAATGTCAAGGCCATTGGGAAATTCTGGGTTTCTAATAGCTATTATTTTACATATATTTCTCCAGTTACCGTGCTATTCTCATCTAACGCTGACCTGAATTTTAATAGCCCCCAAATCAGAAATAAAAACATTCCATTTGAATTCTAGTCCATAATATCAATGCTTCTGCTTCTTAAAAATGTTCCCAAACTGGAAGCCTTTTGCTCTGTGCTACTGCAGTTACTAAGTAGACCAAAACAGCCTGTGAAACAGCCAGAAAGAGGGAAGAACTCAGCTGACCACTTCTACTTGGTACGCTATAAGCTGTGAGGCAACCAGCTGATTTTCAGTGACTAACTTCAGGAGTTTAGATTTTAAAAAATTAAAAAAAAAAAAAAAATAATTCCATGGAAAAAAAAACACATTGTGCAACACATGAAAAAGAAGTACAAGACTGCCAAGGAATGTGACATGAAGACTGATGGTGCCTGTTTTTCCCCAATAAATATAGAAATACAGGCTCTGGTCTATTACATTAATAACAGCTAAAAATCACACACATACTTTTACAGCCATCCTTTCCAATTAAGCTACAGTAGCATACTTAAGTAGGGGAAAAAATGTTTCATTCAATTTGCTGGGAGAAGAAACCAAAGACATAATTTTCACCACATGAAAATGTTGTCAAATTTTACATGCTGAAGACATTAAAATATTATTTCAAAGTCTATTAGCTCTCTCAACTTTGAAAACATCAAAACTAATTTTAAAAGAGTTCTGCTTAAATAAGGCATAAGAAAAAGTTAAATTTGGCTCATATTTTCTGTAATACACCATGTGACACTGAAGTGTAGCAGTTCAACATAATTAGCAACAATTTGATTAGCCTGCTACAAGAGCAATCTGAAAGAAGAAAAAAAGCTATATTAACTAAATGAAAAACCTTTTACAGAGCACATGCCAGATCCTCTTCTAATATGTTATGTGTCAGTACACCCAAAATTAACTTCTGTTTCCACAAGACTGTAAATCTGATGACATCAAAATATACTCTTCCCACCACGTCAGAAAAGTCATGCTGACATCTACCCAGAAACTGGTACCACAGTTCATACCACCAGCCTTAATGATCGTCACACTAAGTCAGTGTATTAAACGCAGTGTCTGCAAATTCAGGGGGGTCATCTTGCAGTAAAAACAGCAACCCAAGTGAATGTCTTTAGGAAGTCTCCAAAGAACAGGCATTGTAATAACAGACACAAAATTCTGTAGAAAATACAACTTCAAAAAGATGCATGGCAGCGCTGTCTGACTAAAGACTGTATTTAACAAATCAGGATCTGAGGCTTACCCAGCTGGTTTTGAAAATCAACATACTGATAATATTCCACGTATTTGTTTTGACTGAAGAAATTTTTATAAACATGTCGTGCGCCAAATAACCAAACATCACTATCATCGGTGATTGTCCCAGAGGTCTGATCAGTAAGGTCCAATAGAGCACACTGTGCCTCTGCCTCCATCGGAGCTTCAACGTATGGAATGCCAAACAGACGGAGTAGCTCCTGTAGGATGGAGAGAAAACAGTATTTCATCTGAAGAATGAACTTCTGCCATACTTCTGCTTGACGTGGAACTGCTGGATGCACGCTTGGGAGGCATTCAGTATTTCACAGCAAATCTCAATTTCTGCTAAAAAGTACTAAGCACGGTTACATCAAGGGGGAAAACCCACTTACCTCAGGCAGATAGCATAATTTTATTATTGTTTTATAATGTTAGAACAGTTATTTAAAATTGTCGGAATTCAAGATTATCTCAATACTTTCAAAATTTTAAATCATGCAGACTGAAGAAAACAAGCTCCTAAGAGAAAAAAGGTGACCTATGATTACACAAAATTACTAACAGCTTTTGAGAAAATGTTTGACTAGGGTGGAGGGGGGACACCACATCATGCTGTATCAATCAAATCAAAATGATTCAACAAATACTACCTGGCTTTCCAAGAACATCTGTCCTGTTACAGAAGCAGCAACACGTTCCTGCTGCTGTTTTTGGGCCTGAAGCATATTCTGTTCAGCAGAAAGGTCATTTTCTAGTTCTTCTAGTTCTTCCTGAAAAATAGACCAAGATTTTCATTATTTCAATAATTCAGGTACACTTAATTAAGTAAGGCACTAAGTCTGCAACTGTAATTATTCTAGTAGTACATGCTCCATTAATTCACACTTGGAAGTTGTCATAGTTTCTCTAATGCAGTAAATTATAAGACCAGAGATAGGTCTATTCATCAAGAGTGCTAAAACCTTAAAGTTTCCCTCTGACTTCAGTGAGGTTATGGTTAACCAACATCTCTGAAGAAAAATCATTAGATACATATTAGATACATATATGAGAAAGTAATGAAACAGTAAAAAGCTGTCCAATAGCTTTCCTTCAAAACTGCTTGGGGACACAGCACTTCATCACTAGCTCAAAACAAGTAACAGGTTGTTACCAAATTGATGTCTTGCCACTCATCAGCTGCATCTTCACCGTAATTTTCTCCTTCCACATTCTGATCATTTGTCAACTGAGCTTCATCAGACTCCTTCAGCAAGTCCTGTGTGACAATATCATGTTTGTCTGTCTCCACTTCTGGAATTGCTGTTTCATCACACAGTTTTTCAGCATATATAGCAGGAAACTCAGTCTCATTATTGATTTCAGTATCCACTTCAATAAAGCTTCCTGCTAAAGGAAAATAAAAAATTCAACTTTCTACTGCATGTTTGAAAAGAAGTATCTGTATGTATTTTTGACCGGAGCAATGATATTTTTTTTTCAGATGCAGTAAATAGATGTAAGGATTATGAAATGAAAGAACCCAAGAGGTTGACCATTAATACACCAGTGAAGTTCAATGTATAGAATGTTTTCCTGACTGCCCATATTGTATACCTAGGTTTCAGTGATAAAACACAAAACCAAGGGGAAAAACATAGCTCAGATTTTCTTCTAACCTCCTACATACATAGGAATAGATGTATTTTAAAGTATTTCTTACTAGGAGAAAAGGTTAACCTCAACTGACTACAAATACAATAAGGTCCTATTTTCTTATCTTTTTTCACAATTAAAAAGCACATACCATCAGAATCACTGTCTTCAGACTGTGACATTCCTTCTCTTTCTTCCTCAGGACCTTTAGCTTCTGGAAAAAGTCTAATATCCATTTGTACTTCAGATAAATTCTCTTCTGTCTGCGAAGTCGCTTCCTCTATATTTTCAGAAATTTTCAAATTTTCCTCATTTTTAGAAAGGTCTATTGTTGCAGCATGAATCAAAGCCACTTCACTAGTATGCACAGGGGAACATGTTGGCTTCTGTGTGCACAAGTTTATATCCTTATCTCCCGAAGAATTTAAGTTCATTTTAGAACCATTTTCTTCTTGGTCTACATCTTCTTTGCCCTTTCTAGTATTGTCAATACAAGAATAACTTTCAGCTCTGTGTATACTGGTATCCTTGGGTGTAATACAATTTTCTTCCAACTCCTGACACTTTTGCTCAAATTGAACATCTTGCATAATCACCTGGTTTGACGAATGAATTGTAGATGTAGCTATTTTTTTTCTTTCCTTAACTTCAGAAAGCTGATCTTCCTCATCTGAGCTACTCAGCAGAAAATCCTTCACTTCTGATCTTTCTGGTAGCACTCCATCAGTTCTAACAGTAACAACTTCCTCCCTTTTACCATCATCACTGAGAGCTTGCCGAATTGCCTGCAGTGTTCTTGGAGACACACTGCCCTCCTCTGTTGCAGACTGGTCCACATTCAATCGCCCTGTGCCTTCATCCACCAGTTCTTCATCTGAGCTGCTGTCTATCATAGCCGCCTGGATAGCAAGCAAAGTCCGAGGAGAGGGTGGCGCTGTCACCACGTTGTTATCTTTCTCTGTCTGCAACTTGTTAGAGGCGACAAGCTTTACATTAGCAGGAGATTCATTGATTTTATTTGATTTAATAAATTCAAGCATTTTTGATGAGGATCCTGCAGTAGTTTCCAGGTCACTCCTTGTAGCTTCCTTTGCTTGAATACCTGAAATAAAGTTTTTCTAGTTTGTTTGGTGTTTTTTTTAAGTAAAAAATCTACTTTACACTAACATTCCATTTTACATAATGAGCATCATTACATAAAGATTAATAAATCAGTTTTCTACACGATTACAGATCACAGTTAATTGGCTTCATGCACCTGTATACAATATACAGGTTTTTCTTAAAACTGACAGCTGCAGACTGCACATACCAAACAAGAGGTTTTACAAAATCAAGACCTGACATACCCTGTATTAGGATATAGTGAGAAGAATCTTCAGAGACTACTCTCCTAGATTCCACTTCTTTCACAAAACCACCTTCATTTTCATATTGTGTTTGAATTTCACCCGACTGCTGTTGATTCAATTCTTTTTGTACATTTTCTATGCATCGATTGAGGTTGCTTTTCTTAAGCAAACCCCTAAGCTGGTACTGGGAAAAGTCATTGGACTCCTTAAAAAAACAAACAAACAAACAAAAAAAAACAACACCAGAACAACCAAGTCAATTTAAATAAAATGCCACTATCTGTACCTTTTAAGCAAGATCATTTACTATGCTCTGGAAAGCCTTTTAAGAGTTTCCTTTAAGCAGGTAATATTTGTCTTTTACTGACTGCTGCACACCCAAGTGACACCAACACCAGCCTAGTAACACACAACAATTCTAAAAGGTACCGGGAAGTAGTTCTGAACACTGGCTAAACACAACAAGATCTCAATGATGTGACCAACAAAACTTAGCTGGCTAATGGAGCAGGTCCCCATTTTAAAAACAGGGCAACTGTAACAGAATCCACAGGTGGATGGTTTTAAGATGATGGTTCTTAGCTTACAGCTGGGCACAAGCTATCATTTGATCTGACACATATTGTACTTCTAAAACATAACTGTGCTCTGAAAAGCTATCTAGAAGTGGCACTATAGGATTCCCCACTTGTCTCTGAATGGCTTCAGTAACACATCTGCTTAAATTAGAAAAGCCCTTTCCCAGCTGCCAGTTCCCCTAACAACCTGAGGGTTTGGAATGCAAGCTGCACTCACTCTGCCCGGTTTATCCACACCAGTAGTATGTTCTTGCAATGGAAACTGAGGGCGTAACTCTGATGAGGCATGAGACTCGGCATGTTTTCCATCCTTGCCAAACTTCATTAGCTCTGCCAATTTTAGCGGAAATCAAGAGGCAGGGCTCTGAACAGACACACGGGAGGGCTCTGTTCAGTCATTATCTCATTAGGTTTTTTTCCCCTTACTGTAACATCTCTTTATTTAATAGGCTTGAGGGTAAAGCTTTCCAGATGTGATACTCTTATGTAGTCTTTATCTGCATTAATGACAATAGCTCCACTCTGATGGCTTGGAAACTATTTTAAACATTACCTCTGGCATCGCTTCAAATAATGTTCTTTTTCGCTTTGTAAACTCTTTCATATCATTTAAGATCTCGTGTTTTATTTCTGGAGGCAGCTTGTTGAAATCTTCTGATTCAATATCTACAGAATGAGGATTTTCACATAACACCTCCTATAAAAACGGAAAACAACATAAACATGTATTTTATGTTACAACACAGCAAGATCAAATGTTTAGAGTGTCATTCCAAACAACAACAAAAAAAAAACACAAAATCTTTGTTGCTGCTTCCCATACCGTGAAGAAAACAGTTAAGAAACAAAAAGGTAACTACTACTTAGTAAAATACCATACATAATTACTAATGCAAACTATACAGAGAAACTTGGTTCTACTCTTTTTACAAAAAGATATTTAGTATAAATCACAGAAGCAGGTCCTATAGCTTCAGCTAGTCTGATTTTATCCTTCCAAAGAGGTTCTTCTGAATGAGAAGTATTCCAAAGATAAACAGTATCTCCAAGAGGTTATTTTCTGTTTGTTTATTGTTGGTGGTTTTTTTTTTTTTTTAATTCGGTGAAAGCAGAGATAATTTTATTATTCACTATGACTTCCTAGGTCATTCTTTTTCTCCTCTTCCCACAAGATCAACGTATCAGAGAGGAATATAGAATTTATCTGTGAAAACTCAAGAACTGATGCTTCAACATCAATTCATATTTGAAGAAATACAGGAATTTAGTTAAATATGCTGTCTTGTATGTGCACACACATGCACAAATGCATACATTTCACGTATATCATTACAAAAAAAAAAAAAATTATTCCAGAGAAAGTAGTTGAAAGAAAAAAAAAAAACATAAGAAATTCCTATTCTGCTGTATTCTATTAGAGAAAATGACATTTGTATTTTCTCCTTAGTAGGAACTCATAGAGTTTGCTTGTTTGCTTGGAAAAGAATGCATATAATAAGACCTATACTTCCAAACGCTTTTTTTTTTTTAAATGTTTTTGTTTGTCTTTTAAGCATAGCACATGAATGACAGGATTGTTCACACTAACAGGGCAATTAGGATGCACTTACCTGCAACATCATTTTTTGGCTCATTCTCACTTCCCATTCTTTTTCATCTTCCTCCTCCAAGCTAAAAATCACAGAGAAAAGAAGTTGTAGGTATTTACTTAGGAAAATAAAAATTCCTATTTTAGGCAAAAGGACATTAGTCATCCATTATAAGTACAAAAGTTCATACACAACATTGAAGTGCACATATATATATGCATATCCCTATAAACACACATACATACATATATAAATACATATACAAGTCAGACAGATTTGAACAGAAAGCAAGGCGGCAGGCTTACCTCAGTTAAAACTAGATCAAGACAACTGTTGCTGTTTAAATCATTACCTGATTTTTATGCAGTCAGCATTTGAAGTATGTAAAAGTATATATAAGGTGTGCAAAGAGTCATCTAACGGATAGCTCCATATTCCCACTTAGTGTTATTTAAGAAGATGTCACAAGTTTGACAAGTACATACAAAGCCCATTTCTGCTGCACACACCTGCACTACTGAACGAGGGGACGCAAACTGGAATCAAGCTGCCACACACCAGCTACCCAAGCCTGAACAACCAGTTCCACTTAGTCATAGAGATATGGCCACAGAGACTGCAGCAGCACTTTCATCCTTGAACAGGAGTCCAGTGTAGAAATTTAATCTGTGGGCTGAAAGCTTCTTCTGTTACTTTTCCATCAATAACTAGAAGGCTTCTGTATCCAGAGCTATAAACCAAACTCCCCAAAAAGAAACTGAAATATAAAGAAATATACTTTACATACGATGGAGTCTCGTGGGTCAAAGGCCTTTAAGCAGCGTCAAAAAATGTGGTTTATAATCTGAGTTTAAGATAGCCATTTAAGCGATTTTTCTTAAGTCTACCTACCTGTTCTTCTCTTCATCTTCTAAAGAAGGCAATACATACATATCATCAATTTTTTCTCTTCGAACTTGCTTAATAGTGGGCAAAGCTTCACTCCTTAGAGAAAGGAAAAAAAAAAAGAAACCACAACACTGATTAATAGCTACATAAAAACTTACCTGCCACTTATAAACAAGGGACAAATAATTTTTATTCTCGCCTTTTGCCTGTAAGCGCAGTTTTGATAACTTGTCTCTTCAAAAATGTTTTCAAGAGTTTCTCTGTAGTTTTCCTGGAATCGCTGATGGCAACTTCCTTTCTGTGTCTTCGCTTAGCCTGTGAAAATAAGATTAACACCAATAAGACTTTGATGGATGCTGAAGATACAAATCCAGTCAACTGATGCTATAATTCTGTATGATGAATCTACAAGCAACTCCTAACCCATCCTGCATCAGTGGTGACGTAGCCTTCAGAGCCTCTACATGTCTCTAAGTCCATTTCCTCTGTGGGACTCGGGAGTATTTTCAGCTTCTGGGTCCAAACGCTTACACAAGTTGCGTTCAGGTCCGTTGTGGAGCAAGACCCAGGCTTATGCCATCATCTACCTCTCTGCAACCTGGTTTCTATGCAAATCAAACCTGAATATATCAAAAGGGAGCTGCTGCATGCTCCAACAGCTAACCAAAACTGGGGTTACAAAGAGCACCTGCATAGCAGTGCACTTCAAGCTCTCCGTCCTCATGGCTCAGAATCATAAGCAGAATAAGAAGGAAATTGAAAATGGCTACTTAGTATCAGCAGACATACATCCTACTTTGCATTGCAGTGACTCAGCAAAGGCCCTTACCAAGGTCTGTCGCTTCAGAAGTGGCGCCTCTCCATCAAAAACAAAGACAGGCCGAATTCGGAAAAACAGCAACTTGCAGAGTCGATGAAACAGAGTGAGGAGGTGAGCATTTTGTATGGAGTTACCACCATGATCTCTGGCTCCCTTTATTGCTTGGTTCAACCAAATACTGATATCTTAAAGAACCATTAATAGGAAAAAATACACAAAGACCATATTAATAGTTTCTATAAAGTGCACATATTTGAGTGGCTGTTGTCCACTGTTCCAGGCTTGACTTATCAAAGCTAAGGTTATCCAAATATTTGTGAATGTCAGAGAATAAATTTGTGCCCCCGTCGCCCTGGTCAAAAAGCAGAGTTGAAACCACTGTGCAGCAAGTAGCACCTCTGCAGTTATTTTTACAAATAAATAAAAAGCAACTTCCTTCCACATCCTGCCAGCATTTAACTGAGTATCTATGATAGCAAAGTTGTCATAAAAGTATTTAAACTTTTTCATATTATATTACTACAGAGAACAGCACATTTATTTATAAGCACGAAATCCTACAGTTCAACGCTTGTGTAAGGCACCTTTTAAGAGTCTCCTTTTACAAATATTATTTAAAAATAAAGTTTATTCCACATATTACAAAGCGTAAAATCTACTTATCATAATGTCATAATTTAAATTTTTTAAAAAATATCATCATGTAGAAATAAGAGAAACAGTTAAAAGTCATGTCCCTCACTAATTTGGTTGCTCAGCTTTACTGTTAAAGGATACCAACAGCAAGAATTTTTCCTTCTAGTATTTCTGGGTTTATAGGTCTCCCGGCGCTTTCAAGCAGTTTCCAAAGTCCTTGAACTCCCATTGTACTTTCTTACGTGCTTTGAGAGAACCTATGAGGAATAAATGAAGGAATAACCTAAAGATCATACAATCTAGGTATGCTTTCATTAATGCGGACGCGTTATTACCGCAAACAGGAATAACGAGGAGAGCTAGGCTGGGGAAGGGAGGGCGCCCCGGCAGCCGCTCGGGCCGGTTCCAGACGATTCCCTCAGCCTGCGATCCGTGAATAAATCTTTTAAAAATCCGGTCCAGCGCAGCGTTACAGCTGCTCGGCGGTCGGACAGCTCTAGGGGAGCCTCGGCTCCCCTCCCTGCGGAGACCGCCGCGGTCCCAGACAACCGCCCCCCACACCGGGGACGCGGTGAGGCGGCGGCGCCCGGGGCCCGGCCCGAGGGGCGAAGGAAAAGGAAAAAGAAGGGGAAGGGGAAAGGGAAGGGGAAAGGGGAAGTGCCGGCCGGAGCGCGCGGCGGGACTCACCTGAGGCGGGGGGCGCGCGGACCCCGGCAGCGCCGCGGCCTGCCCGCGCCGTGTGCGCATGCGCCCGGCCCGCCCTGCCCCGCTGCACGCCGGGAAGGGCAGTTCGCGGGGCGGAGGCGGGCGCTATGGCGGGCGGGCTGGGCCGGCACCGTCCCGGCACCGTCCCCTGCGGTTCTAGCTGTCGTGGGCGTGCCGCCCTCTGCGCTGGACCTCCGCGGCTGCTGCCACCCGCGGCAGCCCCAGGCGGAGGGGCCGCGGCGGTGCCTGAGGCGGGCGGGCTCCACTGAGGGGCCGGCGGCAGCCCGCGGGGTCCTCGCCGACCCCGAGGAGCGCCCGGTACCAAACACCGCGTCGCAAAATCATGATTTTTCCCTGCAGCTGTGTTCTCTCCACGCCACCCGCCGTGCCCCTGGCTGCAGCCACCTCCCTAAGGAAAACGCCCAGCGGCAGCTCCCCCAGGAAGCGCATCTTCCTTCTGCTAACGCGGGAAGAGGCAAACGCACTACCTACTTTACTGATGGAAGTGTGACGGTCTCCAACCCAAGAGCAAAATAACTGTAAAAACGGGAGTCCACCACAACACACCAGCTTAAGAATAGGAGCAGTCTCCTGGCAGAAAGGAGGTTCCCTGTTCCTCAGTGCAATTATCGTTGTTAAGCAAAAAGAGATAGAACTCATCGAAGCCTCAAAGTACCCTAAAGAACACAGCTCAAGTATTCTAAAGATAGTTAAGGCCTCAGCGCCCACTGAGCTTGCAAAAATAAAAGTCTGGAATTAGTTCACCTGGAAAACAAATTTTCAAAACCTATGGGTTTCATTCAGTCATCTGCCTGCAGACTTTGCAAAATTAAATACTAGAAATTAAGTCACAGTGGCTGCACAGGATTACTTTGCTAAGCAGGGCTTGCAATTCCAATCCTTCGCTTACCTAGTTTCCTGAAAGCCTTCACTAAACATAATGTCACCATTCCCAAGACAAATGAAAGCAAACAACAAAATAGAAAACAAATTTTATTGAGTGAACAAAAGTCTAAAAGTCTCCCATTTTTGGTTAACAAAAGCAGCAACCTACAAAACCCCTGCATTCCATGACAAATTTTTTTATGTCAGAAAAACTAATCCTTTAGCACGTATGAACATTTGTAAACATAAAGTTACAACCGTTGAGATGCATTTGGGCAAACAACCGCATAAATTTCAAATTATGGGGGGAAAAAGAAAATAGAGACTGCACACGGGCACCTGAAAAAGCTTGAATTGGTTGCTGGCTGAGAGGTATATAGTATCATCAGGGCTGCCAGCAGTTTTCGGCACTTGCATCCCCTTCATACAAAACGAAAACAGCAGCAGAAAAACGACAGAGGTTTCAAGACTGAACAAGGAAAATAACTGCCAACAGAACGCGGTGTTCGGCTAGCTCATTTGGCTAATAGTAAATAGAGCTTTTTAATACCAAATTTCACAAGCTTGTGTGAAGCGAGTCCGTGCTCTCAAGAGGCTCCAGGATAAGAATTCAGCCACTGTACCCACAGAGCAAAAGCAATTAAGAAGGTCTGTCCCTGAACTCTCCCTGCCACAGGCAATCCCTCTCAGTCCAACACAGGCATCCAGCTAAGGGAAAACTAACTGAGACCTGCTTGACAAAATATGATTATCTGACTGACAGAAGCCTACTGGGAACTAAATGGAGAATGTACATTCACTCTGTAAATCAGACAAGGTTTTCTAACCTATGTGATTTTTTCCACTTGTCACTGGATATGGGCAGCCTTAATAAAATGGAGTGTTAAAAGGAAGGCAATGTTCACTTTCATCCTTACACCATTTGCAGAATAACCCTTTTTATAAAGTCATATCATAAATTTTCATGCTTTTGAATACTAAGTATTTTCAATGAAGTCTGTTTATTACATTGACTAATTTCAATCTGCTCTTTTGTTTTCACAGATCAGGACATAGTACAATTATTTCAAAATAAATTACTGATTTTGCTGTCATATTTACTTTTGATTGCAAAGGTACCATAATCTGTGCTTATCTGTCAGTTTATACATCAGATCTCATCCACTGCAACCATATCATCAGATTTATTTAATAATTGTGAAGCTGTGTCTTATACCATAATTTCTATTCATACATATTCTAGGACTAATAGATCCCTAATATGTCTTGATTAAAACTAACTTTAATATATCAACTCTATTATCTAAAGTTAATTTTAATCATTTCCATCATAATCATTATAACTCTGATACCCACTGTTCCTCCTCTCACGAAGATTAGATTTCTTCCACGTAGATTCTTGATGAAAGCCAGCACTGAAAGATCGACCCAGTCGTCCATGTTGTTTCTTAGAGATATTGTCTTCACTCTCAGATTTGGAAATTCCTTGTCCTTGTGTTTGAGATTGTTTATCCTGTCTAACATTTCCAAATGGAAAATTCCAAGGACCAAATCTTTGCCAGTTAAGTCTCTGAAAGGCAATGATGCAGTGAAGATTTCCTCCAACCTGATCGAAGTAAGAAGGTTCTTTGTTAAAATGCACACAGGAACGTTTCTAGCATACGTAGATATTTGAAATAAACATCTTGGCAGGTAATAGAATTCTTTAAAAAAGAAAACAAAAAAAATGCAACAACACACAACAAAAAAAAACACCCACAAAACCATATCCACAAGCAAATAACCCAGCTCAATCAATTTTGATTGTTTCCCAGATTCAATTACTGCCTTTCTCATCTTTTTAAGCTATCCTTTTTATCTTTCATGGGCTAGTAGAACTTATCTTCTGCTAGTCTTTTTTTATTCTCCATCTACTTTCACATAAATTATCTGTTCTTGTCCCTTCTTATCTTGCTGACAGGCTTCCACAGGGTCTCCGCATTTGAAACGATCTCTTCAGCCTATTATTTCTCATAGATTTTCCATCTGCAAATCAAAAATACATCCCCCACCCATGAGATATAATCCCTATCTATAGGAAAGCAAGCCATATGTATTGACAGTAAGTCCACACAAGAAAGTCACGTGCATTCTTTTATGTTCGATCCTACTCAACTACACGTTCTTTCCCGCTTTACATGTAGCTAGATGGTCATGCACCAAAAGGATGTCTGTAATTTGTCTGTAGAGTATTTCTATACTTGCTGCAGCTACGTTTTAAGCCAACAACGTTAAATACTGTGATCAAATATACTGTATACACAGACAGCCTGGTTCATCCCAGCATATGCCAGGCTACTGCTATATTTTATCTTGTCCTGCAATTAATTATAAAGGACTATGGTGTGTAACCTCATAACTTTTGTCTTCAGCAACACTTCATAACAAATTTCTTTTAGTGAAGTTATCTCACACTGCTGAAGTGTGAATAAGTTTGCAAAAAAACTACCTTGAATTTCCTCCCATCCTAGTCAGTTTACCTTACCTTCTTTGTTTTTCGATGCTGCAATCCTCTCTCTAGGTGTCGAATATCTATATATTCTGGATTTTGGGTGTTTAGGTCAGTGACAATATCTGCCCACCTACAGAATAAGATTATTACTACTCAGCTGACATTTATGAAACCTTAGCACCACTAAGACTCATGTACCCACACATGCAAATAGAGCTCTGCAGCTTTAAATAGTCTTACCAGTGACTTCAAGACAAATGGATGTATAAAGATATAAAAGCCTGAGTATTAGAGACATTAAGCTAGATATAAAAGCATCACTTTTAATCAAAGCATTCACCGTGATTATTCCTGCTCTTGGGAAACACTCTCCAAAGTAAGTAAAAGCACCATGAGTCATTAGTTGCATTGCTTACCCCTGCCAATTCATCAGTTTGTGAAAGGAAGAAACAAAGTGTGGTTTAGGCAAGGCGAAATATCAGCTTTTACTTCATTTAATTCTCTCTTGCCCTCTTATATTATTTAGTTCAAACTAATTTGGTTTTTTTAGCCCACTAAATCTGTTTTTACCAGACAGCTCCCACCATAACTCACTCCTCCATTTTAATTCCCATCTGCAATGAATTATCAATTTAATCATTCCCAATTCACTCAGCTCTTCAGAGTTTCATAGCTCCTTCTAGACCAACTGAGGAAAATATCCCCATATTTGAGACCTCTTTAAGCCTACACATGGTCTTTTCATTTCTGTCAATGTCTAATTACCTGCTTCTCTCTAACACCACCTGCCAAGCTCAGAAAATCCATTTCTACCCCAACCTTTGCCCTCCTACCTTAAGTACGTAACTTTCTGCTAGCTCTCATTGGTACTGTAGTAAGAGGAAGAATGTCTCCACTATCAAAAATAATGTTACAAAGGTTTGTATTCTATATTCAGAAACCATTTCCTGTGCCATTTGTAGATTATATACCACAGGACAAAATTCTGTCAGTGGGATGTATAGTACGTCATTTCTCAGCATAGCCACCACAACGCATAATGTCATTTTTATTTTGCTGCATTTCATCTCATTAGTCATCTCAAATTACCCAGCTATTTACAGTTATTGACACAGTCACATCACTGACAAAACAAAAACAAAAAAAGATACCTGGGTTTTAGCTACTGGATTAGATCTAACTGGCTATGAAACCACCAGATAAGCACTCGTAAACAATTTTGCAAAATAATTAGAGAATAAAGAAGAAACAAAGCAGAAGTTGTGTGATTTTTTTTTTTTTATTTTTGCTTTTCACAGATCTTTTCCTAGTGTATCAATTAAAATTAACTCCATAATTAACTTAGGAGGTGGCAGGGAAGCTATCTGCTAAAATTTTTGTTTTGGCTACGGATTGGTTTCTTGAGAAATACTGACCTTTTGCACTGGTCTCTCGTTTCAGAAGTTAATATTAAGCATTATGAACCGGTACGTCAGGTAAAGTTGAGAAAGCTGTTCTATTCATTTATCATGACAAATATAACTAATTGATGACATTTCTACATAGCACCCTCTAGCCCTCCTAGTCTGTATGTCCAGTTTAGGCACCAACTTCGTATGAGCCAGACCTATCATCCATGTATTAGTTTAACACATAGATAAGCTAATAACGCAGCAGAGTACAGGCTGTACCTGCACCTGAGCTAGGAGATCATGGTAACAGCACAACATCCTGTGCACACCCCAGACACAGCCTGCGTACGCCTTCCACAGCAGCACAATCTCCTCCAAGGCTCCTACAGTCTGTAAGCCCCAAGTGGAATGATCGCAGACAGCTGAGGTGTCTTTTCTTCCCAACGAACGTGAGCTGTGTCACACTCAAACACGAGAAGCGGACTTTGGCTTTCGGGAGCTCACACGTGTCCTGCCACCTGATACAAAACCGCAGAGCCAGCCCTGAGGTCAAAACATGAAGTTTCTTACTAAAGCGCCTGCTTCTGTTAGAACTATAGTATGCTTATTCAAAAGAGCTAAAAGTCACTTGGTCACCCTTCGTAGAGAAATACAAACTGTTTTGAAAGAAAACATACTGGTTTGTATTCTTACCAAGTAACGTACCTTTTACAGTGTATTGTTGGATGTTTTCTGCTTGGCTCTCCAATTAAGATCCAATATTCTACTTCTTGCTGCAAGACACGACCTCTGTTCAATAGAATATACAATCCTAGTAAGATTTATTGTGCATACTAAAAAGAAAAAGAGAGATTAACATTCTATTGTTCTTTTTAGGATTTTCTAGCATTTAAAATTGTTTCCTCAGCCAAACTAAAACCAGCTCCTGTGCTACAATGCTTGCAATTGCATACAGGGAAAGTTTTTGTTTCACAAGGCCTGGAAGCAAAGTAGAAGCTATTGTTTATTATATAGGAAAAAGACAGATCTTCATTAAAAAATAGTGTTACTTTGATGAGAGTCAGTCTAGTATAAGATCCAAATATAAATATATATGTAACAATGGAAGTAAGAATTGTGGAAAGCCACACGAAGGTGAAACAAGTATCTTCCTCCCTATCTGTGATGCCTAAGAGTCACGAAAGAGCCCCTTCCACTATTTTTAAACTATACCCCAGCTGACAGTTGTTACTAACAGCTGTAGGGTAACCTGTACAAAAACAACTGGTAACTTCAACTGTTCCTCCTAAGCATCCAATACCACATATTAAAACCCAAAACACTCAACCAAAGCTAGTCCAAATTTGTGAGCAACTTCCAAGAAACTCAAAGCCTGCAGTAACCTTGTCAGGGAAAATTTATGTCAGACATCAGGGCAGGCTGATGAGATACAGAGGATTGTTCTGTGTATGACACTGGTGAAAAACTAGTTCAGTTTCAACTGTGACAAAACCTGAGATTTTTCTGCCTATGGTATTAGACAGCATATGGCCTTACTGCTTGCAATAATTTGTTCACTTATAAAAACTACCCTGTAAAATAACAATGTATGCCATCATTGTACAGATGGGAAACCAAGACACAGGATAGATTAATTGACTTACCTAAAGTCACACTGGAAGTCTGTGGTTGAACTGGGAACTGAACCCAGGTCTCCCGAGTCCAAATCCAGCAACCTAAGATCATACAGGAAGTCTGTGGGTAACCTAAAAACTGTCACCTAAGCTCAGCCTAGCAACCTATCTATCCTTTTCTTTTGGAACTTAAACATTTCTTAATTTGATTTTTAAAGAAAAGCTTTCATTTGTTACTAGAATGCAAAAACAGGAAAACAAGAACTGCTGCAGAATCTATTTATATTGCTTCTGGAACCTAAACACATTGTTTCCCAGTAAGGTATTAGAAGATATGAAGAGACTAGTACACTCTTTCTGGTCTGACCTCCAGCCTAAAATAAGGCTATAAAAGTTCCTTGAACTCGTTACTTCATGTTACATTGTTAGAAGAGATCTGTTATTAGAATGAAAATCTTATACTGACTTAAAAATAACATCACTAGTGACTGAGAACCCATTTCAACCACAGGGAAAGTACTGAAATTGTTGTTCTTGCTTATTACTAAACAATATAAATTCAAAGTAGATATAAGGCATGTTAAGTTTCTACACACTGGACCATATTATTTCTCAAACTGTATTTTTGATCTCTTAAGCATTTTTTTTTTTTTAACTTTGCTCTTCCAGTGCAGATTCATAGTAACTGATCGAGTAAGACATTAACCTTTTGGTAAACCTAAGCTGACTGATGCACTGGACTTTTATTTGGGGTATATTTTCCACACTCTTCTCATTCACATGGCATGTCAGTGAACATACTCTTAATAAAAAGCTTCTGTATTCTTTTGTTCATAAACTAAAAGCTTTCATTAACCCTATGGTCAGTCTCACACTGGGAACAAATTAGATTCGGATGCTTTATTGCATCCAAATAATTACCATTTTGAACTCTACAAGTAAAGCCAGCATTCTCTATTCCTTGATGTGACTCTGCATCTTCAGCACAGCCAAAGGTAGACTGCCTGGTAAGCCAAGTGCAAGACTGAGGCATGCCTTACACCAGTGTCCTACTCTTTCCATCGTTTAGCATTCCCCAGTGTCAGTATCTGCTAATTTTGTCATGGATTGTCTTCTTACGCTCAATGATAATACTAAAAAATACTGACTAACAGTTCAACCTTGAACCTTTCTTCCAACAGAAACCTCCAATGCATACTGTGTTTACAGCTACTTTGAGGGAGGAAAAACAATTTAATTTATTACTATGCTGTGAATGAGGTAAAACAAACTACCCTCAGCATATCATACAGCCTTACAAAAGCTAAGATAAATTGTCTCAAGATTATGAAATTTTTCAAACTTAAAATTTTTCTTTTTAATGAAAGACTTTACCTAAATGCAGTATGAATAGCAATGCTATTATCCTATTTTAAAACCTGTATTTAATTGAAACCTGTAACAACTATGCCATTATTTTATCCTAAGTAATGTCACCCTGACAAATCTGAAATCATTCAGGTAATTGTAATTTTATTCTAAGCCAACTGACATATTAAGTTTCTCCAGGTCTTTGAGAAGTGCTCTAACATTTCAGCTGTTGTTTAAAAAAAGCCAAACATACTGTGATAGTCCAGAGATCTCTTCTAACTTCTCTCCCCCTGGCCCCCAACAATTATTGGTAATAAACTTCAGATATCTTTATGTTTCTAAGCCTTACAGTCCAGTAGTTCCAGTTTATCACCCTTATTAGTCAACACTGCAAAAAGATCTCCTAACCACCATCCTGCAATACCTACACATCCCCTGTTCTCACCATACACAAACACTGGTTTCTGTAAGTGCAGATTTTATCACGTCCACTTCGTAATGGATTAATATCACTGTATGCTTTTTGCTTCTAGCTTATGAAGAAAAATCCCAACATACATACACACTTCTTCTTTCCCCTCAACTTCCCTGGGGACAGACTTCTCCCACAATTTTTATTGTTTTTCCTTAAAAACACCTGGCCTTTTTCAGCCCATATAGTTTTATTTTTCAGACTAGTTACCATCACTTGTCCTTCAAGTAAATAACTACCCTCTCTATGCCTGGCTAAAATGTCTTTAAATGATTTCTTAGTACCATTCATAGTTTCCTGCTTAAGTTCTCTTAATCTAGTCTGCTTAGTTATGTTTAATTTTAAGTCAGTCCTTTCCAATTACACAGTAGTGTTTTGCTCGTCAGACATAAATGCTTTTACAACATCTGCTAAAACGTTATTTAGGGAGATAAATGGTATCAACTTGTAATTTTTTCTGTATGTTTACTTCACTAAAATAAACATAAACACAGTATCTTACCTGTAGGCTTTACTAGCTTTTACTGGGGTTGCTTCAAATCCAATTGGGCAAAAATAATGGTTTTGGCAATGGTAGATGTAGGCCATTGATTCATCTTTCAGTCCACGTGTTAGCTTTGCAAGGGCCCCTGCAGCTACAAAGAAAGATCAGGTTACAGCTCAGAGTGCTTTGGATCCTGCGTAACATATTCAGCAAAAAAAAAAAAAAGACCTATTTGATAACATAAAATAGTTACACTGCTTTTTAAATTAGAGGATGTGACCTGACAGGCATGCACAAAATACAGTCTTGATATCAAACTTCAGTATTTTATTTCCTGTCTGGTACAAGAAAAAAAAAAAAAAGTCTGCCACACAGTCTACACTAGGGGAAATACAATATAAAGTATGCATTGTATTTAGATTAAAGTAATATAAAAAATTACTCGTTCTGCTAAAAAAAGAACTAAAAGTATATCTTTATCTAGGGAATACACACTGCAACAGAACGCAGTCCCACTGCCCCAAGCTGTTTGAAAGCTTTCAAACATCTTGGTATCATGAGCCTCTTGGAGCTTCTGAGCTTACTCAGAAACACATTCCAGATTTGGGCATGCAGTATTTTGTAATGTGACTGCAGTGCACAGTTTCAGGCAAAGACTAGAAAAGGCACTGCAACGTGACAGAATTCTCAAATGGGATACCAACAACACAAAAATGATTTCCACTTTAATAATCTCCCCAAAACTTTTCAGCATGGCTTTATCCTTTTAAAGAACCTTCCAATTAGTGTACAATTACCCAGACTATACCAAAGGCTAACAAACTGTGAATGAAAGTATAGTATTTCTTCAAGTAGCACAACTAAAAGTAGACATAAAAATGCAGCTTCATAAGCTAATTGAGAATAACCACCTAACTTTTAGAGACAGATGTTAGCTAACAAGTCAGGCAGAATGGATGAGTTCACTAACTTTTAAAAAATGCAATTTTAAAGTATAAAACATGTATTAGAGACATTAATACTTTTTTTCCTGTGTGTTCTAAATTTTTATACAACACAGATTTCTAAAATGCTGAAATAAAAACATTGCTCCCTCAGTGCATTACAGTAAACACATCTTCCAGGACACAACACAGAACTGGAAGTGCAGTGTCTCCCTGGATACCTTAACCAGTTCCAGTTCTGTGACAGCAGAATATATAGCACAGAATATATTTTATCAGAATAAAAGTACAAATGAAAGTTTTAGCAAAGTAAGAGTAAAAGTAAAACCAGAAAAATCAAGCAACTTGGATCTATTTGATAGCTTATCTCAAACTGGAAGTACTACTTACAGAACTTGGCCTGTCAAATGCTACACATTGCAGGATTTCTCAGTTTATGTACTGTAAGATAAATGCTTTATGATTAGCTACATACCAGTTTCTCCAGCTGTCTTGTTCTTCCCATGAGGTTTATACAGAACATACGAGCATCCCTTGATATGGAAGTGATCATTTATTTGCCTAAACCACCTGAAAGAATAAGCTTAAAGATTGTAGTAACTCAAGAGTTATTAAATGCAATTTTCTTTCCTTCCACTTTTCCTCTGCTTGACAGCTTAGAATAAAGTCTCGGTGTGCTACTAAGTACCTACCACACTAGTATATGGACTGTAGGTGACCACAGTACCCTAACACAAACAAAACTTAGAGACATCCTAGAAAAACAAAATACTCAAAGCCTTTTCCTTCATTTTGGTTTTTCAGACCCAACATAGGTCCACAACCAAAGCACTGGATGTGAAATGTTGCTCCTTTTGTGTTCGTTCAGTCCAGTCACCTCTAACTTTCAGTTACTCAGCCTTCAGAAAGACACTCCAATTCTGCAGTGCCAGGCTTCAACCATGATTTGTAAGCTATGTGAAGGGAATCTTCTAAGAAACCAGGAGGCAGGAACCTTTAAGTGAGACTTCCTGAATATCATCTTGGGCTTCTGTCACATAAGCTTCACAATGCCCAAGTGTTATAGGAGTCCCATGCTGCGACTCCTCACAGCAACAGTAAGTGAGAATAGGTCTGCAAAGAAGATTTTTGTCTCAGATATTCACTTTTCCACATTAGAAGATTCAAATTCACATCTTTGAAGATAATACCTCAATCATAAAGCTATGTTGGGTGATAGGGTTGGCTCTCAGCCCTCCTGTTTTCCAGCCTGCTGAGTACTTACAACTGACTTGAGCAGGCAGAGAAAAAAAACTAGTAAGGGCAACTTTTCTGCAGCACGTAGAGCACTCACAGGGGAAAAGGAAGAATTAGAAGTTTAACTTTCATCTGTATAGACTGTTGACAGAAAAGACAGAACATTTCATCAACTTGGTCTATAAGGGTTGCTATACCCTGACATACTCCTAAAGAGATACAAAATCTGGATCTGAGTCTCCTAAAGCTGAGAAAGAAGTTTTCATGAGAGTCTTCAACATTCTAGCTGCTATGCTACCATTAAAGAACAGACTGCTGCCACATTTTCAAATTCAGCACTTACATTCTATTGCCTTCGGAAAATACTAACTAGATCAAATGCAACTCATGAAGCAGGAAAAAACACTGCAGAATTTTTAAATCTCACAGAAGGGTAACATACCAAAGCCCTGTCAAAATGTTCAACACTCAAATATGCCATGGTACTGGCCCTGTTCAATCCTAAAATTCCTTATGAGTTTTATTAAACAAACGAACACACAAAAGACAAAGATTTTTTAGACCTAACTCATCAAGATCAGGAAAGACCACAGCAGAAGTGAAACAGAATTTGCAAACTCAAGTGTTCTGTGACTCCAGACCCATCTTTTCTTTCTTTTTTCTTCCCCTCCCTCGTCCTCCTAAAAAAGGTGAAACACACTATTCTCACTTTAATTTATTAAATTATTTTTACATAAAGCAACTAGTACATCAATTGCCTTTTCAGGCTGTTTCAGTGACATTACAAGCTTTTAACACACATTTTGAAAAACGAGAAAATGAGGGTAAAGAAAAAATTTCCTAACCAGGAGACTCAATTCATTAATGGCATTATACAACTATTAAACAAACTGAACCAAAAATCAAACAGGATGTCATGTTCACCTGATCTGTGTAGCAACATCATACTAAACAAAATGGCTAATCCAAAAAACTCTTTGAAAAGTTTCTTTGGGCACTGTCAAGAGTACCCAGGTATGCTTCATTATTCTAAAATTTAAGAGCACTAACTTGTGTCAGACACTTTTTTTCTTTTTAAAAAAATGAAGTACTACTGTCTTTTTAAAGGTTCTTTCTCTTATTTTTAATGTTCTTTTTGCGTACATTAACAATTCGGCTGCATCAAAAACACCAAACATACCTCATTAAAGTTGTATTTCCAGTGAAGGGACCAAACCTAATCTCCTCAAATGGGGGCTGAAAGCCCAGTATATGCAAAGCTTCTTCTTGAGTAATAGGTGGTAAACTTACAAAAAGAAAAAAAAAATAAAATAACAGAAAGAAAAAAGAAATACAATTATAATTTAATAAACTAATTAGCAACATGTTTCATACTCTCTAGAAGCAAATGCGTACCTTCCAGCTCCCAGTGTGCTATATAAGAAATTCCAGCATGACACTAAGGATGAAATTCCACAGGAAGTCTTATATTGAGGTCGGCTAACACAATACCTAAAACAAAAGAAACCCAAACACATTAGTAAGCATTCTTGATTTAGACACAGGGGCAACCCGAACTACTTTTCTGTGCGCCGTGCCATTGAAATGCCATGTTATATTAAATAGTTTTATGTTACCCATATTAAAAAAAAAAAAAAAACAACCAAACAAACAGCAAATAAACAAAAACCATAAAACAGAGTGCATTCTTTAAAAAAAAAAAAAAAAAATGGAGTAAACATGTCAACCAATTTCTAGAAGTTTGTCAGACGCTACTACTCTATTTCATACAAATCAGCCCCATGGGAGTTCTGTACAAATTATCTTGTAGGAAAAAAATGGTTCCGTACTAATATAATTACAGTTTGATCCAGTCTCTTCTAACACATGAACCTGTAGTAAACTTGCATCTCTACCAATTTACTAATGAATGTCATTCCAGGTTGTAGATTTCCTAGTCTAACTAACTTTGTGATGTCACAGACATACAGTAAGAACCAGGCAAATTCATTAAAATAAGTGAATTTAGGGAACTATATATTCATGATGTAGGTTGTATAGAACTGACAGGTTCTTATCAAGTATTTCCCTACAAAAAGAAAAATCAGGAGTAAAACATATCAGTACTCTGTTTAAGGTTACTTTTTGCCTGACCATGCTAATCAAGCTGCATTTTTTTTAGCAAAAAGTCCCCACATACATTTTTTCCTTATTGAAAGAAAAAAAAATGTTTAGAAAGAAAAATATTTTTAGAATTTCAACAGATGGGAGAGAAGCTCTTATTCTTCTTGTAGAAAGCATGAGATTATAGTATATGTATGCTTAACATTTCCCCATTTCTACAAAAAAAAAAAGTATGAAGACATTATTAATTAGTATGAAACCAGATAACCAGCAACAGTGTTTACCAACAAACTGTATGGGGATAATCTTAGATACAATTCATAAATACTACCATCTCCGGAGGTCCAACACTTTCCTCTCCTTCACATCTTCAAGAGCAGAACGCTGAGGACACTCCCTGTATTGTTTGCTTTTTTTGTCTACAGATTTTTTCTTTGTTACTTGTTTCTTCATGTTGCCTGCAAAACATATTTCAAAACAAATGAATGCCTAGTTTACCTTTCATATATTTCATCTTAAATATACACCTCAAATAGAGACACTGGTTGTATTAGTAACTGCAAACTGGGACCAAACATTAATTGAAAGAAAAAGCTCAAATACATAATCAAGATTATCAACAGGTTTGTAGAGCTGCCATTAGCTCTGTAAACAACATCTTGTTTTTCTGAATAGAATTAATGATGACCTGCCCTACTGTTTAGAAAGGCCAGACAATCTGATTATTCTAATGTGTTAAATCAGCCCTCCCAGAAATAGACTCTCTGACCAACATGGACTTCCCATCGCGTAAGATTAAATGCACAGCGAACTACAATGAAACACTTGTTTTTCACAGCCAAGCTCTCTAGCCAGCTACACTTGCTGATGAAAACTTACATGCAAATCCAGTAAGAATAATATACCCTCAAGCTCTTTTCCTTTTTGTAAGCCACTGAGGCAGTGGAAAACGAGGAGCTGGGCCACATGCTAGAGCAGGAGTATTTCTGTCCCATTTTGAAGCCATCATATCCAAATGAAACATATCACGTACATTTTAGCAAAAATGACCATCCTGTAAGATATTATCATTTGTTTCTTACTTTTATTTAAGGACACTAGATGTACACACGAAAAGACAATGGCAACTAGCCAAACACATTTTTAAGTATTGCTAAACCGGTTTTATACTAAAGTAGAGAAAACAGCAATTTGACTAGCTAGCCAAGCCATCAGGAAAAAAAAAAACTTCAGCCCACTCTAGATAAACAGAGGGATTACAGGACCGAGAAAGCCAAGTGTGTATGCAGGTGCTTGATTCACAGTTGCAGTCTGTGACTAGGAAGAGAAAGAACATAGGAAGCAGCAAAGAAGCCAGTTTTAAAGAATTGGGCTCCCTAACACTATATACATATAGCAAATCAAAATAAATACAATTCTGTTACAGACACCTTTCCTAGACAACTGTAATGACTTCATTTACTTCTTATCATAAGTAAACCACATCTGTGATTTCAACATACATCTCTGAAGTACCTTAAAACATTTCTGGAAGTGACAAACCTGTACTTAACAGATAAAATTAATCACTACACAATGCACTAGGTCCTACTAAAAGGAAAGGAAAAAACAGCCCGAAAACCCAAGGTAAAAAAACACCAAATCCAAACCAGAAGCCACCCCAAACAATACCCCAAAACCCACACACACACAGTTAAGCAAAAGCCAGCCTTGTTTTAAAGCCACTTCCCCAGGCAGCCACACCTGACTTTCACTCCTAACTCACTCTCCTTTCCGGATGAGCAGGTTGCTTGAAGTGGCATACAAGCTCTTCTACAGCACCCCCTCAAGAGCTACACGTGCTGAACAGCCCCCTCCACAAATAAATTGTAAACATGAAGCCTCTTCCTATCACAGCATCAAACCTTCGCCACCTCACCTGCTTTGTTCTTCAGATTTGTGGTCACGCCATTGAACTCCGATTTGTCGATTTCCCATGCCAGTGGGAGCTTTCCAAGATCACCAGGCAAGTTTTCCAAGTTAGCATCTTCACTGTAGATTACCTCTGAAGCACCAGTTTGAATGCCAAGTAAGCTAGGTGTGTTATTTCCAACATTTAAGGCAGCACTGCCTGACAGGCAGGCACTAACTGAAGCACTTGGGCTTTTACAAATAGATGTTACTCTGTTTAAAAAAGCATAGTCTGAGCAGATGGTATAAAATTTCTCTCGTGTATGAGTCACAGGACATCCCCATGGATAATGCCCATCGCCCCTGGACACCAAGGATGCAGAGGAGGCGCCTGACATGCAGTATGGCTTCACAGGATCACGAAGAGAAGCTTCTGGGGATTCTTTCCCAGGTTTGTTTTCAGTGTTTCCATTATTTCCAGAACCATTCTCCTTTTCATCTTCTGAAATGTTAGGCATTGAATGATACTGCAAGAGTATTGTACAGCTAAGAATAGTTTTTTTCTTTATGTTTTAATTACGACAGAGTTTGAATCATTGCCTCCATTGCCTCTACAAGGTATCAACGAGGTACCTGAAAGAAAATGAAAAGTTAGTACAGGCGTCTCAATCAACATAAAACAAACACAAACTTATCTTTGAACTCACACCCAATAAAAGCTGAAATACCCTTCAAGATACATCACAACATACACCGTGTCTTTTCTTGAGCATCTCTAGAATTCTACAAACAGTGCTGTTTAGTATTTGTGAGGTGTCAACAGCATACACCAGTGATACCATGATGAAGCATTACTCATACTTGTAAACCAGCACATGAATAAAAAAATAAAATTAAAAAAAAATTAAAAGCTTCCTACATTTACATAGCTGTGGTTGATCACTTCTGTTCCTTACAGTCACAATACCTTGCATATGCAGAGTCCAAAAAAAATTGTAAAAATTAATAAATTGCATAAACAGCAACATAAAGATTCTGAAGAACCCTGCACTTCTGTTGCAAGTGACGTTCAAGCTTACAGAAAATTACAGTAACTACTACCTCTGTTGATTGTAAATTGACACCACCACCCTCAATCTGTTTCACTGCTTTCCTCATACGGCTGTTAAGGGTTCCCTTTTATTTTTATGTACCTCCTATTCTTCAAGATGTGAGAAAGAAAAGCATCCCGTTCTATTTATAGCAGCTCGGAATTACCAAAAACAAATTCAGAAGCCTGGCTTGCTTGTAACCATCTTTTAAAAAAAAAAAAAAAAAAAAATCGACGGTATGCGTTAGCCATCATCCGGGCAGTCTGCACGCCTGCGGCGGGGACACGCGTGGCGGGAAGACGCCTGCCGCCGGTGGGCACCCTGTCACGCACGCAGGGGACAGGAGTTCCACTCGAGGGCAGGCACAGCACTTACCGTACTGCCACAATTACTTAAGAGTGTATTTATTTTTAAATATTAGGATTTGCAATATTAAATGATTGCTCCTGCGGCACCGACTCCTGGTCGCTGAGCTGAACCGACCCTCCTCCTGCCAGCAGCGGCTCTCGCAACCACAGGGCTCCGCTTGCCAGATGACAAGGCAACACACCAGACCCGCGCGTACCCCGCGGCCCGGCCCGGCCCGGCCCCGCTCCGCTCTGCTCCCCCCGGCTCCATGGGGCCTCACCCACCCGGGACGGCGGCACAGCTCCCCCGCGGGGGGCGGGGGACACCCGGCCTCGGCCGCGGGGCGGGGCGACGGCGCCGCCAATCGGGGCCTCGGCGCGGCCCTGCGGCCCCGCCCTCCCCTTCCCCCGCGCTGCCGCCACTCGGTTCCAGAGTGAACAGCGCTGGGCGGGGGGAAGGGCCCGCGGGGCCCGGCGGGAGGGGGGGCCTAAGGGCGGCTGCCGGGCGGCCCCGGCCCCGGCCGCGGCCCGTTACCTGCGCGGCGCCCGCCTGCGTCGCCTCCCCCGGCCGCGGCGGAGCGGGGACGCGAGCGCGCCGGAAACAGACACGGCGCGCGGGGGGAGGGCGCGGCGCCGCGCGCTCACCTGCGCCGCCGCCGCCCCCCTCCTCCTCCTCCTCCTCCTCCGCAGCGCCGCCGCCGCCGCCGCTTGGCCGCCACCAACTCCCTCAGCCGGCCGGGGGGAGCCGCGGGGCCTGCCCGGCGGCCGCGTCCCGCTTTGTGGGTCCTCACGGTGCCCCCGAGGAACCGGCCGCGCGTCTCCGGGCCGGGCCGCGGCTGCGCCTCGGCGCGGGGGGGGCGAGACACCTGTGCGGCCGTGGCTGTGTTCCTCCCGATCCCCCCCCCCCCCCAACAAACACACACACCCCCGTATGCGCCCTCATGGTCTCGTCCGCATCTGCCCCGCGGGCGGGGGAGGAGCCGCTGTGGGATGGCGGCGGCGGGGCCGGCGGAGCTCACCGGGGCGGGGAAGGATTCCCGCCCGCCCGGCGAGGTGAGGGTCCGGGTGCTGCACCGGGGCTCGGGAGAGGCACGGCGGGAGCGGGGAGGGAGGGGAAGCCAGGCACCGACATCGGGCCCTGTTGCAGGCACCGGGTTTCTCTTGGTTTTCCCGGACCGTCGGGAGAATACGTGTAACAAAAACGGTACCGGGAAGGAGCAAAAGATGATTTTGGATAACAGGGTCTGGTCCTGCTGACGGTATTTCCCCTCACGTTTTCACCGCAATCAGCCTGTTTTCAACGTGAACAAACAGCATGACGCTGAATGCTGAAGCACAGCACTTACCCTACTGCCACAATTATTTAAAGTGTATTTATTTTTAAATATCAAGATTTGTAATATTAAATGATTGCTTTTATAACTGATTATAAAATTTGAAATAAAAATAGGAAGATCAAAAAGTTACATGGTGTCGTGCTGACAGAGAATGCAGTGCTGGTGCCCTCAGCCCACAGAGCCCCGGCTCCCCGCAGTTGCTTCTGTGAGGGGGGCTGCAAGTAACGGAAAGAAGAATCAGATTTCTCCCCAGATGTTAAGAGTCATGGGCTAGATAGTTTTCGGTGGTTAGGCAGGGCGAAGTTGCAGAGGACAGATTCTAACTCTGGCGGGCACAGCCGAGTTTGCCATCCGCTGGACAGGAGCAAGAGGAAGCCTAGGTCGGGTTTGGGATTCGGTGTGGCCGCACTCCGAGGTAGCCCCCCTCTCGACATTGAGAGCGTCGCTCCTTCCTTTGCCAGCTGGAAGCCTGCTGAGCCTCCATCGGCCAACAGCCTTTGAAGTAATTAAACAATTCTGCCTCCAAAGCATTTTTCTCTGAGCCAAATTACAGGCATTAGGATAGCAGCAGTGTTGGCTTTGCCAGCCTGGACTAAAATTAGGTTGCGTGACTGACTTTACAACTTGTTTGGGTGCTGACAAGTGGTGCCGGATCCGTACGCAGATTCCCTGAGCTGCGCTTATGTGGGGGAGGAAAGCTGGAGGAGAAACATCAGGAGGGGAGAAGTGAAGTGTGTCACCTTTACTTCGTTGCTGCTGTGCTTTTTTTAACATGCCAGTGCCTCCCTGCTAGGAGGAGGAAGGACGTTCTGTGAACTCTATAGCTATGAAATATCTTTTTGAAGTTTTCTCCCACTGAAGGGGACTGGTTTGTCTCATACAACAAGATGGAAGCTGAGGAGTGTGATTTCAGCCTGTAAAGTATATCAGGAAAGTAGAGATGGGGGAGAGAAGCTAAAGGGTCATGGATATAAAACCGGGCCTGCGTGAATTTTCAGACTGGAAACTGCAAGTCTTCTAACTGAAATACCACATCTGTGGGAACAGCAGGGGGAGACAAAAACTCTGCCTTTCAAAGTTGGAGCTTGATAATTTTTTAAAGCACTTTGTAACAAGGTTGCTGGTTGGAAAAGGCTACGTTCATTGCCACAAGGGGTCCTTTCTCAGCTTGCAATTTTCTCAAAGTGAGTGATGCTTTGTGTGCGTTTCTATAAACATATTTGCAGTATTGCAAAATACAAAATCTCTTTGAAATGTATGACTCCTTGATGATGAGGTTCAGTTTTCTGTATTGTTTGCCTTAACAAGAGAAAAGCAATAAAGAGTAAAATGAAAGTGTCTTTTAGGATTGAGGTTCTCCCATGAGGAAGCCTTAATGTTGGTGAGGTTCCTGTAGCTACATAGCAAAGGAAAGCATTTGGGTATGTGTGCCTGTAACCTACCTAAAAGGAGGTTGTAGTGAAATGGGTGTCAGTCTCTTCTCCCAAGTAATAAGTGATAGGATGAGAGGAAACAGCCTCAAGTTGCGCCAGGGAAGGTTTAGACTGGATATTTGGAAAAATTTCTTCATCAAAAGGGTTGACAAGCACTGGAACAGGCTGCCCGGGAAGTGGTGGAGTCACCATCCCTGGAGGGATTTAGAAGATACATGGATGTGGCATCTGGGGACATGGTTTAGTGGTGCACTTGGTGGTGTTAGGTTAAGGGTTAGATACGATGATCTAAAGGCTCTTCTCCAACCTACATAATTTTGTGATTCTATATGTAGTTAAGAACAGCAGCAGTGTTTCATGCTAGCTTTCTGTGACCTGAGGTTGGATCATTTGACAGACAGTGGACCACTGAACCACCCCAGGCGTGCGCTGGGCCGTCAGCAGCAGGCTGGTGAGGTGCCCCTTCCCTCCACTCCAGGCAATCCACGAGTGACCTGAGCTACCGGACGTCCCACGCCTCCTTCAGCTGCTCCGGGGAGGGTTTGGAAAACTTGCTTTCCCCGCTTGTGAACTCTTTTATTTCTCACCCTGATGTTGCGGAAAACGGGAGCGAACGGAGGCGACTCGCTCTGACGACACGGAGACACCCGAAGGCGTTAAGTGTCAAAGACACGGACGGAGCCGGCCTTTCCTCTGCGATGGGTCTCGGCAAAACCCCCGGGGGCTGAGGCGCCCTGGGATAACGCCGTGCGGGCCCCCAACGGCCGGAAGTGCTGCTGCGGCGCCCGCCCCCCGCCCCGCCCCGCCCCGCCCCACTCCCCTCAGGCGCGGCGGGGACGGTTCCCCGCGCGGCCGGGCCGGCAGCCGGGCGCAGGGACAGGGAGGCAGCGGCCGCCCCGCGATCCCGCTCTCGGCCCCGCGATCCCGCTCTCGGCCCCGCGATCCCGCTCTCGGCCCCGCGATCCCGCTCTCGGCCCCGCGATCCCGCTCTCGGCCCCGCGATCCCGCTCTCGGCCCCGCGATCCCGCTCTCGGCCCCGCGATCCCGCTCTCGGCCCCGCGATCCCGCTCTCGGCCCCGCGATCCCGCTCTCCGCCCCGCGATCCCGCTCTCCGCCCCGCTCCATGCAGCCGCGCCGGGGGCGGGACTCCCCGGTGCCGCGGTGAGGGAAGGAGGAAGGTCCCGGCCGCGCCTCGGCGGTGTTTCTCCGTCAGGGGAAGCGCTGTAAATGCGCGGCCTGTGGGCGCTCTGCGTCGCCCTGGGAGCCGTTGCGGCGGGGGCCGCCGGGCGGCTGAGCCCCGAGCGCAGCGCGGTATGGGGGCCCGGGCTGCGGGCGGAGGCTGCCCTCCCCGCTCGCTATTTTTACGTGCAGGCCGTGGACGCCGAAGGGCAGAGGTAAGCGCGGCGTGCTTATCACGGATATTGTGGGCAGGAAAAAAAAAATAAAAAAAAAATCCGAGAAATTGGTTTAAAAAGTCACGTTCCCTGCCCACCGATCCCCTCCCGGTCAGGAGGGTGACGGGAGTTACCTGGGAGTTACCTGTCGGCACCTCCCCACGGGTGCGTGACTTGACCCACGCTGGGCAGCCGCTTAAATATTTGCGGGCTCTGGGACTTTGGGAATTGCTGGATTCTTTGTGGGGGAGTGAAGCGTTCTGCTCCCCACCGCCCCCCCCACCCCCCCGCCTTGAATCGCAGCGGTGCTCCAGCCTCGGCGTGGCTGAGCTTCCCCGCCCACGTCCCAGCTGAACCGCTTCCACCTTTTAGTCAGAAATTGACTTGGGAATTTCTTGTGGAAAGGGGAAGCTGAAGGCTCCCTACATGACTTTTTCTGTATATCACTTAAAAAAAACCCTAATTAATCTTTTTAGGAGTATCAAGTAGCTGCACAAGGGGATGAGATAAGAGGATGAAAATGTTCCAACAGCAAAACCACGTGTATTAGTCCAAACAGCAATTTATGATTTATTCTGCTTTGTCAAAACCTTAACAATAACTAATATATTTAATTTATTATATACCTGCTCAGGTGTCCTGCTTGTTTCCACTATTAGGAATGTCAATATTTTTCCAAACATGTAGGCACAAAATCAGTAGAGTCACTTAGGAATTACTCTATAGGCCACTACGTAAACTTTATAGAAATGAAATAGGTAAACTTAGTTTTCAAAGGACACTTATATCTTTTCCATTTCTACAGGAAAGAAACCCTGACTGTGAAAGCTAGAAAGGAGCTCAGAGTGCTCCATCCAGGTTGTCCAGATTAGATGCACGGTGGCACATGCAAGTCTGGAAGCTGTCAGTTCAGTTTATTTTGGAGATTAAATATTTCCTGCATTTAGTTGAACAGGCAGCTCTCTAGTATGTCTGGACAAGTTTCAGGAAAGGTGACCAGGCTGCTGGTCTGTAATCCATTAGTCCATCCACTCCCACCACTTTATCCCAATCTTTCCCTACATATGTGGGATCATGTTTAAAGAGATGGAAAAAAAGTTGGCAGATGCAGCTTTTTGCACTAACTTTGTTAATACCTCAATGCTAAATGATAACTTAATGATTTTTCAGATTATTTTGTTTTCTGTGACTGGTGTACGATGAACTTTACCAAAATGTCAGAAGTACACGTTGAATGACATGATCCCACTATAACATTTTTTTCCTACCAAGAC